ATTGTTAGACCACTATTATAAACCTGAAAGCACTGGACGGCCGTTTCGTCCTAGTACAAGACTTATCAGTAGTACGCATCCACGACTCGCTCTGGCGAGAATCGAACCTTGGACTTACGGTCTCGAAGTTAATTAAACGGCCTGAACAAATAAAAGGTAAATAAACTCAAATCTAGTTGAGCTGCTATACACGTTTTAGTGCTACAGCATATCTTTTGATTATAGGGTGGTAAAGATTGTTGTGTCTCAATAAACTCATAAGTTGATCAGTTTGCTCACTAGTGACTAGCTTCGTGAGAAAATTCTAGCAATTTAAGTGAGAAGGTGTGACTAGTGGAGATCAGGTGTAGGCAGTTACTCACTGAATATAATGGGTGACGATGGGCAATACCTTGGATTGATCAAAATTAGACACTAACACCGCTAGACGCCAGCTCAGTGGTCAAGAGTTTATGCATTCACGAACACAGTCAAAGGGTTATGAGTTGAATTCTCACATGTGAGGGGACCGTGGATGCACATCGCTGAGGTATTCTATTCAAGTGAGAAGCAGTGACTAGTGGAGACCAGGTGTAGGCAGTTATCCACAGAAGATAATGGGTGAGGTTGCGCAATACCTTGGATTGAAATTAACATCGCTGGATGCCAGCTTAACAGTCAAGAGGTTATGCATGTATACCCGAACACGATCAAAGGGTTATGAGTTCGATTCTCACATTCAGCGGAATAATGGATGTACATCACTGATACTGATCAGTTCATATTACATAAAAGTTATTCTGGTAAATGTGAACTTACTTTTGTTTAATTGAATAAGCGCACAATTGTTTCGACATCATTCCAAGTAGAATGATTTCAGGATTAAATGCACACATACAACTGACACGTGATTCCAACTGAATTGAAATTCAATCATAAACGTAGAACGAAAAAAAGTAATTGATCATTTGAACGCTTGTAATCAATAAAAAGCATTTTATTACGTCATGATAATTATTTAGCAATCTAATATTCATTTATGTGCCTTATATTTTGTTGGGGACATTAGATCCTCAGGAATCACTTGATAAAAGTCCTAATTTGGGATTTTATGTTTTTAACGCATGAGTTGATCAGTTAACCTTGAGATTATATTTCCCACTCGGGAAATCCCTGACTGTTATTGGTTAATGTGGTATTTAGGGTACGCTATGTTCGTGGTTCTCCCAAGGACGTTTCCATCATGTATAAATAAACTCAATTTGTGTGCTTGTCGACCTCATATTTCCTGGATGCTTGTAGAATACACTTTCTACGTCTCATCAAGACTTCATCTTCTACTTAGTGGGTCCTTGGGATATGTAGCCCTATAACTAAATGTTGTTATCATATTTTTCATAGGCTTTTGATGGTGATGGGTTTTTTCTGTTTAATACCATTGAATTCATGAATCGATCAATGTTAGACCACTTTTAGAAACAAGGAAGTGCTGGGTATCCTTCTTTTCCTATTACGGGACTCGTCAGTGGCACCGTCTGTTGACAATCCTTGCATGAGGGAATAGAACCTAGGACCTTTGTTCTTGAGCGTGAGGATTCTTAACATTGATATGTCCTTTAATTGACATGTTTGAATGCTATTACGAGTTCACCTTAGGCGGTAAACGAGACTGAAGACAAATGATCCAGTGACACGATAGGCTACTCTAATCCGAGCGTTCCAAAGACCCACTAAGTAGAGGAAGAAGACTTGACAAGACGTAGAAAGTGTATTCTACAAGCATCCAGAAAATATGATGTCGACAATCACACAATTTGAGTTTATTTATACATGACAGAAACGTCCTTGGATGAGCCACAAAATAGTGTACTTAAATAACCCATCAACCAATGACAGTCGAGGATTTTTTGAGTGGGAAATGTAAGCTGAAGGTTTACTTAGAAACTTATGTGCGAAAACATAAAAAATCCAAAATTAGGACCTTTTCCAAGTAAGTTCTGGTGATCTAACCTTCCCAACAAACCTCTTGACTATTGAGTTGTGATACGACACTAAAGGCACCCATACTAAGACTAAACAGCTGTCCAGTGTTGCTAGGTTTTCAATGGCGTTGTAACACTGACCATTTCAATGAGGCTCAGAATTCTCCACAACCCTATAATAAAAAATATAGTTTTTTTCCAAAATTTTTCAGCTCCATATTACTTTGTGATCACTCGGACAAAAGCTAAGAAACCACTTTGAAAACAAAGGAACACTGAACCACCCAGTTCTATTTCTTTTAGACTATTCAGCAGTGTTTATCCACTAATCTTCACAGGATCGAAGCTGTGAATCGTAATGACTCCGAAAAAACAACCTATTCATAGATAACTAAACTAAAATTCAAAAGTTTTCATCTTTAACTGTAATTGAATTGTAATATTGTTTGACCAATGAGAACATAGCAGCAGCATATCAAGGCTACCATTGAGTATTGGCGTATGATTGGTTAATTCAAGGACAAGGTCATAACAGATCGATATGCTGATTGGTGGTTTCAGCATATGTTATTAATGAATGTAGGTTAATAAGTCACAAATATAATAGAACGGTTAACTCACTTCATAACCAATACTTTGCATACAATTAGTTGTAACAACAACTTCTGATATTTGACTATATGATTTATCCCCATAACAAATCCATAAATGTTCTACAGAAAGAGAAGAAAATCGATATTTAGGATACACATCAACTAAGGCAAATTGTGATTCGATAACTTCGTGTAAGTGAAATGATGGTTAGATGTGGTCAACAGAAAACCATGGATCTAGGTTTCGCACCATTTGGCATTCGTCAGAAAGACGTATCTGTGATTATGTGGTTAGTGATTCTATTCTCTAGAAAACCAGTTCACTGAACAAAACGCTAACCTCAATATATTATTCAAACTAATTAAACCCTGCCCTGGCAGTTGGTAGGGTCTTCATTTTGAAGATTTATGACGTCTGATGATGAAAATCAAGTTTTGTTCGAAAATCACGCGGACAACTCCCATTCTGACAACCGAAGCAACAATAAATATATAGGTAGGTGGAATGTTCGCGCAGTGTGGAAGACCGGGAGAACTATTCAAGTTGCTGCACGAATCAAAAGATACTAACTGGTGGTTCTTGGAATCAGAGAAACAAATTGGACTCAGTCTGGACAAAAAAAGATAAGTTTGATTAGCAGTGCGGATTCAGGAACCTGAAAGCAGGAACCGAACTTAAGACGTTTGGTCTTACGCGGAATCTTAACCCACAGACCACTGAGCCGACATGCTACGGTGTAAATGTATAACTTTGATCAGTCCACGGTCTTGTCTTCGGTGAACATTACCTCACACACGAACACAGATGAACTCCATTTGTCACAATCTCTCACTAAAACACGAAGAGATGTCCTCACTAAGCTAGTCAGTGGTGATCGGGTGATACTTTTCAATAGCTTAGAGTTTAAGCGTTCACAGACAAGACCGAAACTCTTCAATTTGATTCCCGCAAGTGGGAGTCGTCGATGCACATTACTGATGAACCATACACCAGGACAAAACAGTCACCCAGTTCTTCCAGGTTTCGAATGCTCGTCTAACCAATGATCGATTCATGAATTTCAGAATATTTTGTGTGTGCGTGTGTCTGTGTTCTATCACACACGCAACAACAAATGCAAGAGAAGACGACCAGTGTAGCAGCAACCTCTGCAGCAGTTGGTCTCAACATACATAAAGGAAAAAGCAAAATTCTCCGATGCAACACAACATGCGTCAATCAAATTAAGCTTGATGGAAACACCTTGGGGGACATTGAAACCTTTACATATCTGTGCAGCATCATCGACAATCAAGGTGGATCCGATGCAGATGTGAGGGCACGGATTGGCAAAGCAAGGGCTGCATTTCTACAGTTGAAAAATATCTGGAACTCCAAACAACTATCAATCAACACGAAAATCAGGATTTTCAATACAAATGTGAAGACAGTTCTACTGTATGGAGCGGAAACTTGGAGAACTACCAAAGCCATCATCCACAAGATACAAGTGTTTAATAACAGTTGTCTACGCAAAATACTTCGGATTCGTTGGCCAGATACTATCAGCAACAACCTACTGTGGTAGAGAACAAACCAGATTCCAGTGGAGAAGGAAATCAGGAAGAAGCGGTGGAACTGAATAGGACACGCACACTGCGAAAAGCACCTAACTGAGTCACGAGACAAGCCCTCACATGGAACCCTCAAGGCAAAAGGAACAGAGGAAGGCCAAGTAACACATTACGCCGAGAAATAGAGAAAGATATGAGAAGAATGAACAAACATTGGACAGAAGTGGAGAGGGAAGCCCAGGACATAATTGGTTGGAGAAAACTGGTGGGCGGCCTATGCTCCATTGAGGTTAACAGGCGTAAGTAAGTAAGTAAGTGTGTCTGTGTGTTATATAATCATTTATAATTATTAGAAAATCTTACCATTATCATAAAATGTGATTGCTTGTATGACAGCTTGATTTTCTTTATTCGATCGTTTGTATTGAATATGATGCTGTTAAACAAAAAATTCTTGGGGTACAATGTTCAATAGATAGAAATATATACATGAATCAAATTTTTTTAAGAAAAATTTCATTCAATTCTATCAAGTCAAAATTTCCGAATTCTAGTGGACAAAATAAAAACAGTCGATTTAGTTTAAACTACTTGATTACATTCTTACTGCCTTTTACTCCTCCTAGTGGACAGAGTGTAGGTCGCCTACCAGCACTTTTCCGACCTAATCTGTACACCAGGGCTTTTCCTTTTTAGTTCTGATCATTCGCGGACCATTCTCTTCATGTCTGCCTATAATTCTCGAGGTAATGTGTTTGTAGTGTGTGCACTCATATGTCATGCCCACAGGATTGGTTTTAAGCTCGTCATTAAGTATGCTTCAGGCTATTATGAGTTTACCTTAGTCTATAAATGCGAACGAGACTTTTACCAGCCTCCAGGTAGGCTACCTTGAATCCCCAAATAGAGTAAAAAGGCTTTGTAAGCGAAGAATGTATATATTCTACAAACACACAGCAATCACAGTACAATCAAGCATACAACTCTCGTTTATTAATACATCATAGAAACGTCCTTGGGACAGTTAAGAAAATAGCACACTAAAATACACAGCAGCCAATCACAGATATGGATTTTCCTGGTGGGAATTGAAATCTCAAGGTCAACTGATCAGTCCATGCTCGGAAACGTAAAATCCAAAATAAGGCATTTAAAAAGCGAGTTTTGGGGATCTAACATCCCCAACAACTGGTCCTACAGACTTTGGACGTCCACAATTCACTAATATCCTAGGTTGTTCTCATTCAAGTGTGTGTGTCTGTGTGCACGCTTACTCTGCTTATTAGATGTCTAACCTATTTTCTTCTGACCATAAATATTTAGTTATACCTTGACGCATCATGTTGTTTTACTTGACTTTTTCACTTCGCTTTGATTGTATGCATTTCATTCTCATGTCTGTCTGTCTGCATAAACGATTGGCCGAAATAAATTAATCGAACGGAATCCTTATTCGGCTTCCTGTTACCGCCGTCGCTCAAACGGGTTTCGCCTAAGTATGGGATATGGAAACTAAAGGGGTGATTTATTTTTTATTAGTAGAGTCAGATCGTGGATCACTAAAATAGCGAGCGCTACTTCGAGTTCTCTGGGTTATCCTTTTTTCCTTTGGCTTTCAGGATTCTATGTCAGGCTTTGCGTTGTATTGCAGCTTGGTGACTTCCTCAATGCATGTCCAATCCGATTAGAATCTCCCAACCTAATTTTTTCTTTATCTGGGATCTGGTCCATTCCCTGACACAGTAAGTTGCTGCTGATAGTGCCTAGCCAACAGATCTGCAGGATCTTGCGCAGACATCTGTATCTTGTGTATGATGGCTGTCATGATTCTCCAAGTTTGAAACCCTTACAATAGATTTGTCTTGACAATTTTATTGAAAATTCTAACTTTGGTTTGAGTTCCAAACGTTCTTCAATTGGTTTAAAAGTCACTTACATAGAAAAAAGTTTAGGTCAAGGTTGCTATAATCACAATTGTATTGGTAAGATAAGATCCTCTGATTATGGCCTAGGTAGGTATCCTTATTCATACACACACACTGTATTAAGTTAGTCACAGATTCATAACTATTAAGTTAGTTGATGAAATCATTAAAAACAACTGTTTGCTCAAAATATTCACTCTTTTAGAATTAGGAGATCGATTAAAAAGAAGAGAGAGTCGGAAAGGGTTAACTTTCTCATGTTATCTTACAAATGTGAAATTAATTGGTTGTTGAAATAATCTGTATATCAGACCATGTTATTCTTAGTAGCTAATGAGCTGAACCACAGAAAGAGTTGCTTGGTTAATGGCTAAATAAGTCGGCTTTCAACCAGTGGCATTGAAGTTCGGATTAAGCTTTATTTCGTTTGAATTCAGCAGCCATATAACCTTCATGACACACTAAAACCTAACTTTGTTGAAACGCATTATCGTTCTTCTTCAGTGTGCATATATCGTTAATGATCAATGAAAAATATCGTTCTTTCTGTTATGACATTCATCAAATATCCTAAAGAAATTATTTTGTAAGTCAAATTCTATTGGTCAATACTTAAGGTCAACCTAACCTCTCAAGTTCACATACTTTTCAATGTTGTCTCCTATTGGTTAGTATTCACGGTCGACCTAATTGTATAAATACGCATTGTCTGTAAAGTTTGTGCTCCTTTTCATCCTCTGTACAAAGCCTCATATTTTCCGCGAGATTGTAGAATACACTTGTACTCCATATCAAGACTTCTTCCTCTACCTAGTGGGGCCTTGGGACGCTCGGATTAGAGTAGCATATCGCGTCACTGAACCACTTGTCTTCGCTCTCGTTTACCGACTAAGGTGAACTTGTAATTGTGTCAAGCATATCAATTGAAGAGCATAACACTTTCATTGAAAGAAATAATTGAAATTCATCAAACTAAGTATTCATTAATTAATGTGAATAACTATTTGAACGAAAATCTCACAATCAACTGAACTAAGAGGAACCCAAATTAATCATTGGAAATCAAGGAACACTATTTTATTTGGTCTACAACCCAACATAAGAGTGGACTTTGAATGTTCTTTTAGGCCTCTAAGTGGTTGACGTTTCCCATACTAGGAAGAAACGCCTGGCCAACGATTCCAGGTTTCTAATGGTGGTCTAACAACGATCAATTCAAGATTTCAAAAACTAACTCAACAATTTCTACAACCCTATATTGAAAATTATTATATGCTCACTAGTTACTAGCTCTGTCAGGAGTCTTTTTGGAGTTCCAGTAAGAATTCATGACCAGTAGAGTTCATCCCTGTTCTCTTGTGAACTAGTTTTCACTAAAGAAAATAGATGAGGTTGAATAAGATTGATCGAGCAGTGATCGAAGTTTAACATTAACACCATTGGATGCCATCGGCTCAACGGTCTAGAGGTTAAGTGTTAGTTAGATCGGTTCAGTTCCCGTTAGAATGGGTTAGGTAAAGCGCATACAAGGAACAAACAGCCATCCACTTAGTTTCATGTTTCTAATAGTACTTACTCTATCATTGATCAATTCATGATTTCGATAATTTGCATTAAAATGAAATAGAAACTTACATGATTATCGATAAATTCATCCGATGATCCTTTCATAACATTTTGCCAATATCCTTTTTTAATAAACATTTTCTTATTTAATATTTCATAATGATATGCACGACGAGTGGCAATGAGTTGTGGTTTAGGAAATGGACGAAGTTCTTCAAAAGCTGTCTAAACACGAAAGAAAAATAAAAGAAACCCGTACGAATAATAATAATGATAATCATGATTGGCTGATAAAAACTGTACTATACGAACAAATAGTGAATATTCAAAATGGCGATTCTTGAGTTATCGCGAAGAGAAATTGCATTTAAAACACGCATTAATTAATAGGGTCAAATTATATGATTTAGGGCATAGTCAAGGGTATATATATAATCTTTCATAGTGAAGGAGAACACAGGTGAGGGCAACCGAATTGTATTTATCTCAAATTACAGAGTTACTCAGTAAAATAGGAAAACCATATCGTAAATCGTTAATTTGCAAAATATCAGTTCATCATATCGAACTGGACTGTTACTGTTGCAAACATCAATCCAGTGCCTGATATTTCACTGTTCATGAGTTTCATACAAATTCCATTGTGTTCCCACTCTTCCTTTCTTGATCTTCCCCCATCTTCTGCTGCCAGACATTACGTTTTTACTCGCGTCATATACTACTTATAAGTAGCGCGCACCACACTCGTCCCCCCTTTTAATAAGTTGTCGTCGTAGTCTTTCTGATCTCCGTACCGCTGTCTTCTTTGGTGCTTTGCGTGACTCACTCAATTAATAATCTTGAAACCACCTCTGCAGTTGACTGGCATTTACACGCTTCTGCTTGTCTTCTCTCCGGATCGTGTACACCGCGCCGCGTCTCTCCGTGATAACGTACGGTCCTTCCCACTTTGGGATCAGCTTTCCGCACCCTGATCCCCCTGCTATGCTACTTTTTTGTTCTCTACACTTTACTAGGTCCCTCACTGCAAAAGGTTTCCACGTTCTCCTTTGTTGTTCCGCCTTCTTTATGTCTGATATTTGCTTCTTTGATTCCAATAAAATTCAGCGAACCTTCTCTCTTCTAGTAGATCGGCCAGCCATCGACTACATCATCTTGTTGTCAACTAATCAATAACAATTCAACTGCCTTAACTCCAGCACCAACATCCGAAGAGCAAGGAAATTCTTTGACTCCAATATAATTCAATGAAATTCCTCTCTACAAGTAAATCGGCCAGTAATCGCCTTCCATCGGGCACATCAAACTTGGATGAATTTTTTGAAAACTAACCTGAAAGTTTTAAAATACTCGTTCTGTAGAATAAAAAAGTCATTTTAACAAAAATAAAAGGTCAACAAGTGGCGTCATTTTCTAAGGAACAGTTATGTATATAAATCAATGTGTATTTATGTCAGTGATACAGTAACTAAATCGACTTTCTCATCCACTCTTGTCTTCCTGATCAAATAATCACTTTTAGGAGGGAAAGGTTGACCCCTTTACTCCCCACTCTAACTCCAAATAATTGATTTGCTACTTACCATGTGAGTAATTTACACACATGAATAAACGCTTATCAATCTGATGTCATCCAATGTTTATCGATCGTAATCTTTTATTACATTTGATCATAAATAGTTTTTATAATTAAACTCTGTTTTGCTTTTTTGATTGGTTGATTCATTGTTCAAGGTTTGTGCACTGGGCGCAAATACTGATTCGTAACAATGTACAGTTTACATAGAAGTTATTCATGAAGTTATTTTTGTCAGTAATATATTCAACTGTATAATTTTGATTATTGCTGTCAAGTTCACTACCTAGATGATCTGGCTCTTCTGTCTCACACACAACAACAAATACAAGAGAAGACGACCAATCTAGCAGCAACTTCTGCAGCATCAGAACGTCTCAGCATATATAATGGGAAAAACAAGTTTCTGCGATACAACACAACATGCGTCAATCAAATCAAGCTTGATGGATACACCTTGGAGGACGTTAAAACCCTCTACATATCCGTGCAGCATCATCGACGAGAAAGGTGGATCCGCTGCAGATGTGAGGGCGTGCATCGACAAAGCAAGAGCTGCATTTATACAGTTGAAAAATATCTGGAACTCCAAACAAATATCAACCAAAACCAAAATCAGCATTTCCAATACAAATGTGAAGACAGTTCTACTGTATGGATCGGAAACTTGGAGAACTACCAAAGCCATCATCTAGAAGATACAAGTATTTAATAACAGTTGTCTACACAAAATACTTCGGATCCATCAGCCAGACACAATCAACAATAATCTACTGTGAGAGAGAACAGACCAGATTTCAATGGAGGAGGAAATCAGGAAGAATCGGTGGAAGTGGATAGGACATACACTGCGTAAAGCACCCAACTGCCTCACAAGACAAGCCCAGAATTGGAACCCTCAAGATTAAAGGCAAAGAGGAAGGCCAAGAAACACATTACGCCGAGAAATACAGAAAGATATGAGAAGAATGAATAAACATTGGACAGAACAAGAAAAGAAGGCTTAGGATAGAGAGTAGGTTGGAGAAAACTGGTAGGCAGTCTATGCTCCATCAGGTGGTAACAGGCGTAAGTAAGTAAGTAAGTACATAATTGACGTGTTATAACAAACGTATTGAAGTATTCGGATGTTACGAAAACAGATAGACCATATATATTCAAGCAGGTCGTATAGATACATACCTATCTGTAATTCATACATTATTCTTCACCTTGGTTTGTATGTCTGACATCGGATGGATCCTCTGATATGCTAGTCAATGGATATGCTTGAATCCTATTACGAGTTTACCTTATTCAGTAAACGGAACGAAAGCACTGATACAGTGACATGATAGGCTATTCTAATCCGTTTGCCCCCGGTCCAGCTAACCAGATCAAGAAGTCTTGATAAGGTGTAGAAAAGTGTATTCTACAAGCACGCAGAATATACGAGGTTGACAAGATCACAACTCGAGCTTATTTATACAATGATAGAAACGTCCTTGGGAGAGCCACAAAAATAGCACACTAAAATAATCCATCAACCAGTGACAACCAAGGATTGTGAGCTGAAGGTCAACTGGCGCGAAAACATAGAAATTCAAAATTGGGATGTCTTTTCCAACTGAGTTCCGGGGATCTCACGTCCTCAACATCCTCCACACTCACCGACTCAGTTTAAGCCTTAACTGGACATTTACTTTTCGTAAACAGTAAAAAAACGACCAACAACAAGGCCTTTGTCAAGAGAAGACACAGTGAGTAGGAGGATATCTTAGTACCAAACAATAAAAATTGCACATAAATTTTCTAGTTTGTTTTTACACAACAAAAATCAATCAATAATATATTTTACTTTAATCAAACCATCCACATCATAAGTTAATCGTGTGGTTGCTTTTAAACATTTCCAAAAACTGATTGTATCGTGTTGTTCCAACAGCATATTTTGATTACGTTTTAAAATTGCCACTGCAAATCGAAATAATGTTTCAGAACCTTCCAGTAGAAACACATCCCAAATACGTATCAATGTCTAAAATGGTATTTGAAGAAAACAGAAACAAGTAGTGTAAAAGTGTACTACACTTGAAGATTAACGCAAGTATAGAATATTAACATACAGTGTCATACGTCAGAGTTAAACATTCCCAGCATTGGATGCCGACTTAGTGGTTCAGACGTTAGGCGTTTGCACGCAAGACTAAAGGTCGCAGGTTCGAATCCTGCGAGTGGTAGGAGTGGTAAATGTACATTGCTGATGAGTAGTCCCATACCGGGACGAAACTTTCATCCAATGCCTACAGGTTTCCATTGGTTGTCTAACAATGATGGATTTGTGATTTCAGTAATATCAAGTAGTTATCCAAAATCTTTCAAATTGAGAGCCGTGCGATTGTAATATCTATAATTTGAGCCACTGAGTAATATTAGTAAAAAACTAGTTTACAAGGTCAAAATTTCATTTGTTTGATAAATCTTGAAATTTCCTAATATAGAGAGCCAATCAGAAGTAATGACCAATTGAAAAGGACATCAGAAATATTCTAATTGATAAATGTCTATCATTGGTCGATAAATGGATTTATTTTCTAAGGAGCAGGATGATTTATATTTACAATTGGACAGTCAGACGAACTTTTGTGACAGCTGTTTCTCACTCGACTAGTGTTAGGGGGATATAGATGGAATAAAGTATGACTGAGTCAGCTGCGCGCTGATTGGCTAATTTCCTATCCAATCAGCGCCTGATCGATTCTTGGAGAACAGGGTAGAAAATTCACGTGCTGTTAGCTGCATGCTGATTGGCTAAATCTAATCCAGTCGATCACGTGAATTACTATACAGAAGATTCTCATGTAGATATTATAAAGAAACTAACGTTGTATCTAATTTGGTCTCGCCTTCTTATTTCCATTTAACTTTGCCACTATGAATATAATCTTTTCCTGTTCCACCGTGTTCTTGATTTTTGGGAACTTGTCCAGTGTATTGTGGTCAGACAATACTAAGCAATAGGAAGTAGCTGGGAGTTATTTAAGCAAGCGTTACAACAACTAGTCAGATGGAAGGTTAGAAGGACGTATCATATTCAGATCTCGAACTTTAGGAAACACTATCATTTTCCAAATAACATAATGTTTTTACCGTTTTTTCGGACCCTTTTAAACTTTCTGGTTTTTACATTTTTCACTGAAGTTGATGTTATTATTATTTTGTTCTATTATAACTCTTTACTTATTTCACATATAAGTAGTAAAATAAAGTACCACATCAAATATTTTGGTGAAAAGACAGTCGACCCTTCAACTCATCTTACTTATACAAGGTTACAGCTAATATTTATTCACTAAAAAAAATACTCTCACATATTACACAACCTGATGACTCTCTGATTGGAAAATGATGGAGGTATACGATAGATCACCCGAAAAGATCTAGATTTATCTACAATGTGACCACTATCTACCACTATCTAGCTATATCGGGCGTACTTCCAGGCAACTTACACAACGAATGAGTGAATATCTCCCAGCATGGTTTACGAAGGGTCAGTCAAAAACAATACGCAGTTCTATCTTAGCAAACCTGGTAGATAGTGGTCACATTGTAGATAAATCTAGATCTTTTCGGGTGGTCTATCGTATACCTCCATCATTTCCCAACAGAGTTCGATCCCGTCTCCTACACATCGCAGACTCTCTGACTGTTGATATCTCAATCGATAAAAATGAACCAATCAGTAATCTATTTGAGTTAAACAACAATCACTTAAGACTCAATTAAACCCATACCGGTTATTAGTACACACTGATTCTTTATGTAAATTTACCAATCATGAAGTTGTTTCAGTTATGATTAAACCTTTGTTGTTACTGTTTATTGTATGTGTGTGTTCATTGTTCTCTTTTGTGATTGTCGGCTATTTACATACATAGTCACCTGTTTTGATTATATATAGCCTTGCAAAGATGATGTTTGCATTTCGTGTAAGAAATTTTTTTTCGAGAAATTCCTCTGAAGACAAATCAAGTCTTATATTCATTGACCAACTATAAAATATTCTTTGACACAAATATCTTCAATTTGAGATGTATTAAACAAATCAAGGTCATTTGTAAGCCAGTGATCACAATGAAATAGAGATATTACGTAACGACACGCATATAATAAGTCGAAAGTTGATGGTAGGTAGAGAAGTAAACTAGTGGTAAGACTGATTTCTTGTCAGTAATTCAAGATTGAATGTTCTAGGTCAAACTTGAATAAATAGACTTAAATTAATCATCAGAAAACATTATTAAAATTACGTAATAATAATATTAATAATCGTAATAATGAAATAAAATAGTTTGTTAAGCTATATCCAGCAAAGCAAGGGATCAAGAGTTTCATGAATTTCTTCTCAACATATAATTCAAGGGGATGAATATTCGGATGTCTATAGCTTCAGTTATTTGTGGGAGATAGGATCGGAATTAATGTAGATCTTCGACAGATCACTTAAAAATAATTTGGTTTTTATTTATATTATGACCACTGTCAAGCAGGTGTGCCAAGAAAGTGTTAGAATATTCATTCAATATCCTTAAAGAATTACTTGTGAGTATAATTAAATTGGTCAGTTCCTAATGGTTAATTTCTACTGGTCCATATTATGGTCGTCCTAGCTATCAGTGTCAGGTACTTCAAAGTTGTTTCCTATTGGTCGCCTTAACTGTCGATGTCACAGATTTCGATGCTGTTTCCTATTCGACCTAAATGTATAAATATGCATTATCTGTAACGTTTTATGACCCCAACTCGGACCCGGATCCCTAGTCCGGGATCATGGTTCTCTTCTGGACTCGAACCTCGTACTTTCTGAATGCTTGTAGAATACATGTTCTACTTCATATCAAGTCTTCTTATTTTTACCCAAATGGGCGTATGGGACAATCGGATTAGAGTAGTCTGTCGTGTCGCCGGATCCTTGATCCTCGCTCTCGTTTTCCGACTAAGGTAAACTCGTAATAGTTCAAGCATATCAAATTGACGTGTTTACGTGCATGAGTAGCGGAAAGAGGTGGCTATAGTTTGGTGATTGGCCTTTAAGGAAACTATGCCAGGGAAGATATTGATTAATCCGCTGGTTAATTTGCTTGGTAGTATGCGCAAGATAGCTTTCTGCACAGGAGCAACAGTATTTATAAAATACACATTGAAAATGCCGATTCAGTTAATTTATCCATTGTTTGATTAAACATCGCTGGTCGACTGGAGGATTGACTGCGTAGAGTGCGTTATGATTCGCCTTCACTAATTTGTCGTGCAAGATATTGGTGATCCTTTGTTATACGATTCAATTGAGCAAATAGCATCAACCTATTTGTAGTTGCTTTGAATCAAACAAGGATTAAAAGTCAATTTATATTCTTTGATTATGTAATATGCTTGTCAACTGATATGCTTGAATGCTATTACAAGTTCACCTTACTCGGTAAACGGTGACACGATAGGCTATTCTAATCCATTTGCCCTTGGCCAGGCTAACTATATCAGCAAGTCTTGATAAGGCGTATAAAGTGTATTCTACAAGAACCCATAAAATACGAGGTCAACAAGCACACAAATCGAGGTTATTTATAGTTGATAGAAACGTCCTTGGGAGACCCACAGAATAGCGTACTAAAATAACCCATCATCCAATGACAGTCAAGGTATCTTCCTGGTGGGAAATGCAATCTCAAGGTCAAATGATCAGCCCATACGCCAACACACAAAAATTCAAAATTAGGATCTTTATCAAGTGAGTTTTGGGGATCTAACCTCCCCAACATTAAGCTTACAATCGTGCAGATGTACTTAAGTTCAATTAACAATTTTTTAACGAACCCTAATATGAAGCAACATAGGTTTATGAAACAACGTCATTATTCCACTTATTGTCGACATAAGTTTTCCTTTTGAACAAACATATGATCGGTGGAGTTTAACACTTTCAAGTGTAGGCAATAACCATCAAAACTAATGTTTGATGCTGTTTAAAAGCCTTACATTGTTCAGAGTTAGACAATGAACACCTTTCGATGCCAGCTAAGTGGTCCACAGGTTAAGCATTCGTGTGTGTGTGTGTAGAACCGAAGGTCCTGGGTTCGAATCCTGTGCACAGCATAAGTCATCAGTGTGAACTGCCGATAAGCGGCATATCAAGGCGAAACGGTCATCCAGTGCTTTCACGGTTGGCCTAACACTAATGATTCATTCATGATTTCAATTTATACAAAAATATATAGGATTATTAATTGAATGTACTCACTTCAAAAGGTACTGAATCATAGAATACCGCCAAAAACCAATTTAATGTCACAGCTGATATATCAATACCCAAACGTTTGATGTGTGTGGATAGTCGGGGTAATTTTTCATGTACTATTTCTTTCAATACAAGCTGATCAACTTGAGCATCGATTAAACCAGAATTGAAATAATTTTCTGGTAAAAATCTTTCAATGATAGCAATTAAACACCTAAATATGTATATATATAAATAAAATGAGAAATTTTGTATAAGATGACAAGAATGACAGAGATCTAGGGGGTTTTACATTGAGTAATTCACAGACCCCGTCGATCATTAACTTATAGCCTTTAAAGTTTTTATTTGAGTGTGTATGCGGTTACCACATGTCTAGCTTATTTTTGTCTGACTATAAGTGTATAGTCATGCCTTGTCACTTTGAATTGGCTCATTCGACTTCTCCACTACAATTTCACACTGCATGTTCTCAAGTCTCGGTGGGTGGACGATTTCATGAAATAAACCCATCCAACGGAATCTGTATTTGTATTTCTGTTAGTGACGTCGCACCAATGGGGTTCGCCTTCAGAATGGTATATGGAAAAAAGATGGAAGATTTGTTTCATTGCATATTCAGTCGTCCGTCCGAATTGCAGTCAGAGCCCCGGGGCCACTAAAAGGTATCTATTTCCGGTTGATAGTAAGTAACTAAAAATCAAGTACAAAACGTCCTGTTCTTAAGAATGGACAATCAAATGTCATACATTAGGTAAACTTTACTATCTTGTAATGGGATCAAGTTCAATCACGCAACAGTGTGAAGTAGCTTCTGATCTATTGACATACACACATATTGTTGTATTTTATTTTAAATAAAAATTTTAAACTACTTAAATAGTTCTTTAGTAGCATATAATTCATTGAAACAAAATGAATATCGAATAAAATTGAATGCATATCGGTGATCTGGAGAAAAAAATCACATTGTAAACTTATCAAATTGATGTAAGATGAAATAACTTAAAAACACACATTGAATTATCATGATTAAAAAAGTATTCTATATGATATAATGGTCTCAATCTGTTTGGTCTATTTATTATTCACAGTCTAACTTATTCAGAGCTACGTTTTGGTTTGATAGTTTATAGTAGTTGTTATTTCCCATTTTATCCTGTGATGTGCTCGAATATGTCTGTATATGAACTATGTATGCTGCTAACTGCATTGTGATCTCAATGGGTAGAGCAGTACAAACTGAGTGGCTACAGAATAAAAATTCGATAGGAACTTAGCAATGACTCAAGGCTACTGATATTGAATGCAGCGTAAGTGATTGACTCTGGGAAATGGTCAAAGAAATTTATGTTTTTATTGAAATCATGAATCAATCAATGATAAGAAAATATTAGAAAACCCGGGATCATTAGTCGGCCTTCTCTACCTAAAGTGAGATTCATGAGCAGTGTGCATCGGCGACATTGCGCGACATCAATTATTGTATTTAGTAGGTAACTGCCTCACAACCACGGCAGACTGAACTCTACTAGTGACAGCTTCTCACTGAGATCGTGTCATACCTTAAATCAATTACCAAACTTAGGACAGAGCAGTAAGCGATTCCGCTCGAATCCGGAGGCTAGGGTCGATTGACACACTGTGTGAATGTGGATGCATACTGACTCAATGTAGTTCATATAATTGAATAAGATAACCATCCAGTGCTTTCAGGCTTTTAATGGTTTATTTATGATTTCAATAACTATGGAATACTCCGAGAAATAGTTCATTCGGTGAAGACGC